CCACCTCACGCACCCCTCCTTCTTCCTCTCGACCTCCTGCTGCTGCCTTCTCTTCTTCCACGCAACCTGCTGCTGCTCCTTCTTCCTATGCGCCCCGGCTGCTCTTCTTGCTGAAGCCCTTTCCCCTCACCACACTGTTGTTCCTTCTTCTTCCCCTTGCTGCTACTATTTCTCTTCTTCCCTCGCCTCTAGCTGCTACTCCTAGTTCTTCCCCACGCCTCTCCGTTGCATCTCCCTGCTGTTATCATTCTCCAAGCTCGCCCCTCTCTGAATCCCTACTGCTGCTGCTCTTCTACTTTCTCCTACCACGCTGCTGTTCTGCTCTTTCTCCATCTCCCAACTCCAAGTCGTTGCTGCTACTCCATCTTCCTTTGCCCCGCTGCTCCTCCTCCCTCTTCTCAACGCCCCCCTGCTGCTGCTTCTTCTCTCTCAACCTCCTACTGTTGCCTTCTCCCTCTCTCTCTCTCTCTGAAATTTCTGTAGTATTGAGAGATGTTTAAGACTTGTAAGGTTCAGATTTGAAGAGTACACGTAAACTGCTGTTTGCTCTGTTTAGTACTTGTATAATATAGTGCATGTGATCTGAGATCTGAGTAGTTGAGGCTTTGTTACTTTAGGAGATACTTGATCTATTATATTTTGGTTCTATCAATTAGTATTCTGCTAGTATTTGTGTGTGTATGTGTATTTGTTCAGTCCGAAGACATGTGTGGTTCTTACTTATTTTGTTGACCAGTGAGAGTTTGTACGGTTACATTGTGTCCCTCATTTCGAATGTATGAGATCTAGCTATATATGTTTTATATATTCTGTACTTGCTGATGATTAATGTCCAATTTATTGTTCTTGTGATATATACACATATGTGTGTGTTATGTTCATGTCCTTTTTACTTCTCTTGTCATTGATGTTAGCCCGTGTTAGTATCTTAATTTCTCAAGTATTACAAAAATACCAAAAAGAAAGTTAGTAAAATCTGAATCTACCTTTGCTTATCTGCATTTTCATTGGCGACAATCTTGATAGTTTAGGTTTATTCTCTGTTCCCATCATCTGAATTGTATTACCTAGCTTTAGTCGAGCGTAGCCGTTGATTGCCTAGTCCCTATGGAGAACACGACATCCGTAGTTTGGGGCGTAAAAACCCCGCTATATTACAATTGATCACTTGACGATCCGGCTGACCAGAGGCATGGGTGGAGCACTGTTGCCATGCTCCGACTGACCAGAGGCATGGGTGAAGCACTGTTGCCTCGGTCATCGGTAGATGGAGACTCGTCCCATCGTACGGCCTTGATGGGACGGTAGCTGACCTGTGGCTGGGTTGAGGAACACGCCAAGGGCGGAGCTGGCTTGTTGGGGAAGTCTTGGTGTGCCGGATCGGCCGTCTTGAGTTGGTTGTTGGGGCCGAGTCGAGGAGCTTGGCCGGGTTGGAGAGTTCGGCCGGGTCGAGGGGCTTGGCCGGGTCGGGCGACCCGACCAAGCGCGAGCCGGCTTGACGAGCGATGCTGGCCCTATTGTTTTTG